GCCGCTAGCGTACCTCTGTTTTCGTAACGTGATTAGTCGTACGTTATAATAATTATTGTTATCAATATCATCATCATCATCATCATCATCATCACTATTATTACTGCCAGTATTACTGTGTTTGCTATTTATTATTTATATAATTAATATTTTATAATAATTATTATCTCTCTCGGGTCGGTTGCATCACTCTCCTCTCTCTACGCATACTCGTGTACCATAATCACGATTATCAATATCTTTAATAAATTCAGAACGGAAGGAACGACTCAGCGCGTCTATTCTTGCTGTGGAAAGTTCGTTTTCAAAAATCGCGCTTCTTTTTTGTTTATTTGAGACAACGGCGGAGCGGCGCAGAACGAAAAATGAATTCAATGTTATCAATATTTTTGCTTGCCACCACACGAAAAGAAAAACAAAAAAAATGTAACGATTAATAAACTGAAGCAAAACAAATAAGGAAGAGGCTAAATTGCCCTTCTTTGTGATGGTTCCTTATATGCGTTTTTATGGGGATAAAATTGTATCGATATTTATTACTAGATATAATTTTTTGAGATATTACATACACTAGGCCAAAGTTTTTTTTTTTTGTTTATAACAGTCACCCCTCTGGACCAGCATCTTCTCAAGAGCATTCAGTCAATCACAATCATCAATTAATTAATCAATCAATCAACGGCAATTCAATTACACGTTCATTCACTCGCAGTAAGCAGTCTGACTAAATGAACCTCGCTTCCAACCCTATCACTATACGATGATTATACTATTTTACAGGACACTGCCGCACTTTTCCCTTTCTACGATTTTCGGCCTTCGGTCAATCGGTATAACCCAGCCGTAGGTGTTAGTAGTTTAATACCCAATGGCGCCGAATTAACTAATTCGAAGAAAAGGGAAACGATCTTTTCCTCAACAAAACTCCTGACACAACGCAATGTCTCATCGGAACATAGATCCGAGCTAGAAGCTGGAAACACTCTCGAAAAGTCTACATTTTTATTTTGTATTTTGGAAAATTTCAACGACTAGTCAAGCGAAGGACTTTCGAAGCGCAACCCTTTTCTCAAGCGAAAATTCACTGAAAGATTCGATTAAAAAATAGATACGTGTTGTCAGACTTTTGTTCGCACGTATGATCATCGCTTGCCCCACGCGTCATTACTTCGTATTTCGGGTAGAAATGTCCGTCGCGGTCCGTTTGGACGCAAACAATCAAAGAAGACCAATATGCAGAAAAAAGAATTTTGTCAAAATGCAGAGTATTATTATTATTGTTATTATGGTGCACCAATCATAGAATTGCTCCAGGGACGAAAGGAAGAAAATCTGCAAGAAGATTTGCATAGGAATAACAGGATGGTAGCGCATAGATAACAGTGAAATGATCTGGGAGTAGCGCGCATCAGTGTTACGGAACAACGGCAAGAGCTGTGCGTCATCTAATCGTCAATACTGAATAATGCGAAAGTAATTCTTCCGACCGTTCTCTCATAAAGCTAAAACTTTTCTTCTCCATACACATTGTGTAGCATGTTTTTTGTTGGCGGAACTTGGTAAGCAACGACCCTTGCCTTCTCTGCAGCGGAGACGTTGTTATAGGACGAAACTGAAAACGACGATTGAAGAAGACTCACCCGAATGGATGTGCAACATTGAAAACATCGGGCCGCCACCAATAGCTGACTCAAATTTGAGTGCAAGCGGTCGTGGTATTAACTTCGTTACGGAAGGGCAGTCAGCTGATCATTTCCGCTTTGTTCGACAAGGTTACGGCAGCCTGTTCCTGAACAAAGGTGGTCAACGAGAAACACTTACAATAGACGAACGAAGGACAAAAGAGGCTCACTAAAGATACAAATTTCAAGAAAAATCTATTTGATCAAAAAGGCTCAGTGTCGGCGGGCACAGTGCACTATCTGTGAACAAGGCGAATAAGAAAAGTGTCATCAATCCTTGGCAGTTGGAACTGTCAAACAAAACCACGACCAGACTGACAATCCGGTTGCAACTCAATACAATATATAGCTGATAGTAGAGGTTTTTACATACACAGTGTTACACAGATGCACACCAATACAGACATGTACACATGCACACCCAATCTCAGACAAGCGCCCTCTGGAAGACTGTCGAATTTTGGCTAGCTAAGCCATTCGAATCCTCTAACCTGGTACGATCGTTAGATCGAACGTAACGGGATCGGTACGTTCTTAGTTAGGGATGCCTCATACACAACACCAGAACCGGAGCGTGATCAGTCCGTCGACGACAGTCACACAACGTTCATATTGTCGCCAACAGACATATGAAATACTAGAATCATCAGAGTTCGTCGAACAGACATGAAAACGACAGACCCATGCTTAGACATAATGGCACAGGCCTATTTTTGAACGGAATAAGGTAGGCACACAACAAGAAACACAACAAGAGCACGCCGAGCTTTCAACAAGCACAGCCATTGCAATGATAATAATCATAGCAGCAGTAAGAACAATACAAATATCAGTAACTTAATGGGAAGATTAATTGATGGGATCTTACTGACCGTGCCTGCATTACTGGGATCCGGTGACGCAGCGTCCTGACTCCGTGGCCACACATTCCATACCATATCTATATAATACATACCATGGAGCGAGAACTGAGGGGTACACTAAGTTAGGAATAAAAAAAAGTGAACTTAACATTCATTGTAGTGGTAATAACGATAAGAAAAATTACAGATAGTCATAATCATATATTTGTATTTATAGGTAGAAATTCACAATATGTACAGAAGATGCGCAAGGTGAGGTAACCTGCCGGTGAAGCTGCCTGCTGTCTCTCCTAATTGGTTCGTCGTTACGAGATCGAAAAACTCAAAAAATATTACTCTAAAAACGCAGATTACATACTTCTTCATATAGCCATATAAAATAACATCACTTGCTAAGTTTATATAATAGCTCTATCGTCACCTGCGACCGATCCTCGCAAATTTCGAACGCCCCAGCTGATATAAAGTCAAATGAAATTTGTTCTTCATCTAACTCAGTTCAATGGAATCACACGCCAGAATGCCGACCTGTTCCCTTCATAGATTGTGGGGCAAATTTCGTATTTTGTTATTTCGTGGGGTCTAATTTTGGGCCCAAACATTTGTCATAACGAACGTCTGATCAAATTAACTTGAATAGATAAAGGGTCTTCTATAATTTTCTGAGTGGCATCAAAGCATTAGCACTAGTTGCCAAGTCTGTCACTGGGACATTATTATTTTTAAATCAATTGCCCGCCGAAGTGTGCTTCTCAACACGATGATCGGGTTTTGCCGATGATGAGGGGCCGCCGCCGTACGCAAACATCAACGCACTTGTTCAGTCATCATCCACGTGACGAGCGAGTGAATAGATCGATCGATCGACCGACCGACCGACCGACCGACCGACCGACCGACCGACGAATCAATAGGCAAAGAGCCAATAAATCGATCTATGATCAACTTATTAATCAACCAAATCTATACAACGTTCAGTCTATCGTTTCAGTAACTCACGAGATAGCGCTCCTCTCAGTCGTGTATGTGTCAACATGCATCCGTCCATCACAAAATCATTCATTATCAATCAAACATTGGCGTCATCCAATCTATTATCATTCTACCAATGACGTTTCTTCCCATCTGTCTCTTTCTTGCTATTACGGAGCGACGCAACGAGCCTACGGGGGGCTAAACAGCAACCTACCCCCGTCCAATCTCTATTTATATGCAATGAAGCGTGGGTTCTTCCCCACGGGAAGTAGAAAGAGATTAATCTTCAACATCATCGTCACCATCGCCATTAATTATCACCCTATAATACCACATATCTACAGCGCCGTCTCCGTTGTCCGTCATTTCTCTCTCTTGTTCTCTTATTTGCAATGGCCTTTTGTTTCTCAGACTGACCGCCCGCCCGCCCGCCCGCCCGCATTTGCCAGATCTTTCCAACGCTCCTTAGGTCGCGGCCAATCTCTTATCGCTTGCGACACTCACGCGTATCTGCAGACCGACTCGTTCCCTGTTCCGTTTCCAGTTTCTGTTTTGCTCGTTTCTGTTCGCATCATTTTCTGTAGCATTTTTGTTACCTCTTCTTTGCTTCCTTGTGACATTTTCATTCTGTTGGTTACTATCAACGTCTCAGAACATTACCCAGACACGGATTTTTCTCTACAGCCGCATCTTCCCCGTTGCGTTAATACATATGCTGTCTAACGTATACTCTATTTCGTTTACGTTATCATACACACGCTTTTTCTCGACTCTTATCTAGACGAACGGACATCAGCGACGACAATTGCACTGCATCGGGCGAGGTATCGGACCCGCCTGCCAGTATTCAGCTCGTGCCATATCAGATTCTGTGAAGGCGGATCATTATACGCGTTCGTAATACGTACGCGTATTTCTGCAAGAACGGCATTTTATATGGTAAATTTCGCTTTCAGTCAGCAGCTCCCGATTACCGTAGACGGGTGGGAATTAGAAGCTTGAGGAAGGTGGACGGAAATAAAATGTTACAAATGGTGGAGGGCCGCTCCAGGTCACTTGACTAATCCTGTAAAATATACGTATAGAAGTGCATTAGGAGAATAGAGAGCGCCTGTTGCAGGTGAGTAACACACAGTGTTACCCTGTTCTAACGCTTGGCCTTGCCTCGAAAATAAAGTTTGTTCGATAACCGAAAAAAATCTTAAGGCAAAGCAAACTAATTACTAACAGGCTAAAAATTGTCGCTTGTCAGCGAGAAGGGCGTAAAACTATGGTAATGTCTATTTTCGTTTACGATCACCTGTCAGGGGGGTCCGCCCATACGCGCGTCACGACGAGTCGCAGCTTTTTGTGTATAATCACTTCTTCTCCATTTATTTGCCTTCTGTCACTTACGATCCCCTCGTCCCTAATTGCTTGCCGGCATGTTATGTTGTTATCTCTCTCCTGTTTGCGCGCGTGTTCCATATGCCTCTCTCTCTTTCTCTCTTTCCGTGTTTATATATCTGTATGGAAATTTGTCTTGTTTCGAAATGTCATCCCTTTTTTATGTTATCGGGTTCTTTGTTTCGTGTGACGTCCCCTGTTCGTGTAGTTGTTGTTGTTGTTGTTTGATACTTGGTGAATAGAACTTTAACTTTAACAAAACAAAAGCACATTGCTGCTCTATATATATATATATATATATATATATATATATATATATATATATATATATAATAGCTTACCTAGATAAAGTTGAACTGATATTGTACAAGATACACAAGGGGTCCCCAGGCTGTGTTAATGGCCGGGGTCGAGTCGTGCTTGATGTGAGCGTCGCATATATTGATTCATTCCTCTTTCTCGTTATCGTCATCTGCTGCTCGCAGTTTCTTACACACTTATTACAATCCGCTTTCTTCGATCAGTTTCACACAGAGTATCGTTATTTAGTTCTCTACAAGTGTTTCATTTCTATGATAACCTTGCTGGTCTCTGGAGCACCGTAGCGTTATTACTAATATCCGTTATATTTATATCCTCTCGTCCCCTTCTCAATATTATTACCTTTTTTTCTACACTCTTTTATGTTCATCTTATATATAGGTTTATAATAATAATAATAATATTATGACAATATTTTTCGTTTCTATTGTAACATCAGTTTCACTTTTTTGCATCCTCTCCTCGTTGTTTTCTTTACATCATTTATTTCATAGAGATATATATATATATATATATATATATTTATATATATATATATATATATTTATACCAATATGTCGGGCATCACGACGGTACATAGGCTACGATGAGACGTGAGCTTGCTTATGTACTTATGCATATGTGTAATGGTTCTGTGTAATACACGATAAGGGGTGAAATATACGCTATGTTGTTGAATGAGTGAATTGTTGAACCTATGAATTTGTATAATGGATGAAATACGATGAAATTACATGGTTGAAATCTGTTAGCGCGTCGTGGCAATCGTGTCATACCCCACGACATAGCTGACGGTAGAACTTTTTAGGGCAAACACGAATGTCAAAATCACCATTATTAGAAATCATCATTGGCTGTATAGCGGAAGCGGTAGCAGCAATCGGTTGTTAGCTTCATCTCGTTGTCTTCATCGATCCTGTTCATCGTTACCTTTTGCACTTTGCAGTAAACTCTTGCTGAAGAGTTTAGAGGAAGGAAGGAAGGAAGGAAGGACTCTTGATCTTTTTGTTTTGGACAGTTACCCCGTTCGCAATTGAACGTTTCTTCATGGGACGGCAGTGCTCAGCAATGTGGACTAGAATTACGTGTGGATGGTAAAGCGTACCCCACTTAGATGGTCTTTCGTTGGAAGGACTTAGCAGCTGATCGATCGCGACGTGACGTAGATGATTCCACGTGCTCAAACTGACAGCCTGGTAATTTCGCGATGTTTTCGTTTGTGTCCCGATCAAATTTAGGGTCGCTGATAGCGTTTCGATGGCGATACCGTCGACTGCTACTATGGGCCGTGTATGCGACCGTTGAAAATATGGCGCAATTCAGTTGCTGTTTCTTTTTTGTCTCGTTCTGTGTTTATCTTCGTCGTCGTCGTCGTCGTCGTCGATGCCTGAGGTCGTTTTTTACTTAGACGGTTGCAACCACGACCATCAAATGAGCGATGTCAGTTACGCTCTGCAGTAGGTCTGGCGCAATGCGGACTAGATTCTCGTGTGAAAAACTGCAGGTCGGGAAGATATGAATGACGTACGCAGGCTATAAATGAGCAAACCAAAACAAAACAGCAAATTATTACGGTGAAAAAAAAAACAATAATAAACACAAGATACACTGTGCGGTGTTTCGCTTTCTATATATTACACACGTCAGCCAGCCTAAACAGGCAATTATAGTTATCGATTTATGCCATAAGCGGCCCTTAGCATAGAACTCCCTTCTCTCATATATATATTAGCATAATATACATACCTGGCCGGTTCCGGGTTGCGAGCCAGCGTTGACAATGCCGGCTGCTTGTTTCGACGACAAATAGTTTATGAAGCCGCTACGCAAATTATGCGACTGCTGCATCACATCGATATGATCGCGTCCACAGGGCAGTGCTAGCAAAATGCAGTGTTCCTCTGGATGTTGCATCTTCCGCGCTACGCCGTCGAGCTGGGCAGGCTCGAGTCGCATACGCTGTGCGATGCGTACTGGCGCAGGTCCACCGTCGGGTCCGAGCGCCGGCAGAGAGCTGAGTGCTATTCGCGAGTTGCCTGATACAAAGTGCATCTGCACAGCAGCCTGATCGTTCTTGAGGGCCAGGAGGCCCTGCCACATGACGGGATACCTAGAAAGCATTTGCACTTCACCAGTCGGTGGTGGTACAACACTTCCGTGTGGCGGCGTCTGCGGCGTGGGTGGTTGACTTCGAGCTACCGCGGGCTGTTGGGCGAGCGCATGCGCCGGTGGCGGTCCGTGGAGCGTCGAGGTTTCAAGAGCACGTCCTCCAAAGCGGCCAGTCTTCTTAAGCAGCGCTTCCTGTTGCTCACGCTGTTGCTGCTGCTGCTGCTGTTGGGCCTGAGCTTGCGCCTGGGCAGCCAACTCCTTCTTGAGGGCGAGCGCCCCACCACTGGCGGAATGCTGCATGAAGCCAGGACTCGGCGAGCCAACAGCCATCGGATACTGGTGGTTCTGATGAGCCGCTGGCGGTTGTTTGAGCTCGCTCTCCGTCGCCTTAACGTGGGTCGGAGCTCGTCCATAGGGACTGGCCTGCGCGTCGCTCGAACATGCGCTGGGTATAGGAAGCTGCTGGCCGAGTTGGTGGATTGCGGCAGCGCGGTAACCACCACCGGGCGTTACGCCTAAACGACTGAGCATTTCCGCTGAGGATGTTGGCGGCGGTGGACCACTGGAGGGCTTGCCAGACTGTTGCTGCTCTTGCTGTTGGTGGGCCTGGGCGCCTTTTACCTTGGGTTTACTCAGTGCTTCATGTTCTTTTTCCTTCTCTTTAGGATCGGGCGGAGGCCGGAAGCCTGCCATGGCTGGATAGGGGAATCGAGACCCTAAGCCCAGTGCACGCAGGTCAGCCGCATACGCGGGGTGGTTGGCGGCTGCGGCATACATAAATTGTTGATGCACCAACAAGTCGTTAGGTGACAGACCAAGTGGGTTGGGTACCAGCATGTTCTGCGGGGCGCTACCCGCTTGGCCCCGCATGGCATTCAAGAGCTCCTGTGGAGGTGTCGGCGTATGCGGGGGAGTCGGGTTACCTGTTACACTTTGATTTCCTTGACGAGCAGCCTGGGCGGCAAGCTGCGCCGCCACAGCCAAATAATCCTTAGGTATAAACTGGGAATTTTGCAGAAGTTCCGCTATGACACCGCTGCCGGCACCTGCAGGCCCGACACCTACGCCAGATGTTCCGGGCTGTATAGGTGATGCGATTATAAGTAGAACAAGGAAATGACAACAAAAAAGAGAACAGTTTTTTTGACTGGGTTAGACAATTGTGTGTATCGTAATGGAAACGTGAAGGGTATTACTTCAGCGTGAAAATGATACGCTTACTAACTATGTGTAACTAATGCACGAGATATACGAGAAATGAAGTATTCCATTTTGCTCCTAAGATTGTTCAGTGCTGACGTGCGTACCACTTGGTCGAAAGCAAATCCAGTGGGCATGGCGGTCTTCGTTCCTGTAGACATCGCTTTCTTAGCTGTGGATTGGGCCTGCTGTTGTTGCTGGGGTGTTCTGGTCGCCGGTGGAGTGGAAGCTTGTACAGAGTTTGTACTAGCCTGTGACACTACAACATTGACTTGACCACTTTGAGTGGGCGCTGGGGGCGTACGGGTATTCGCACTTCTTCCGGCAACTCCGTACGGAGATGGATGTCCTACAATTTGCTTTTGGATACTCTCGGGTGGAATCTGTGTATGATGAAGAACATGGCACAACGGCCGCGTCAGACATCACAGAATAAATGTATATTATGGAAGTTTTTTTTAGGTTGATAAGAATCGTTATAATTAAGTAGCTTATTAACTCCTACGTTCTTCACAATTACATTACAAGATACCTAAATAACGTAGTATATTAACGACTCAAGCAGTTAAACACGTACTTCGAGCCTGGGTGGCACTTGGTTCTGTTGTTGTTGCTGTTGCTGAACTGCACTCTGTGTCAGCAAAGCCTTGTTGTCTGTCGAGCGAACAACGCAAGCTGACGACACCGGCAGCCGGGGACTGAGCTGTTGCGTAGGCAGAGTGGCCATGCTAGCGTGATGTGGCAAACCTGGAGGAGTCCCAGATCCGCCAGATGGAACAGGATAAGATGAAAACCCTTGTGCGGGTACATTTACGCCGGTGTTAGGCCCGCAGGCAGGCCACTGTGTTCCAGGAGCAGGCTGGTTTTGTTGGACTGGCTGTGGCTGTGTTTGCTGTTGTTGCTGTTGCTGCTGCTGTTGTTGTTGTTGGTGTGATTGAGCTTGGTTCTGAACAGCCGTTGTTTGGTTCTGTACAGATGCTGCTGTGAGGCCTTTCGGTAGGTTTGGAAGGTTCAATAGTTCCTGTGTGTTGGTGGGTTGAGCAGTTGGTGGGTTTTCCGCTGTCACAGGTACCGGATGTGGCTCTGTTGTCTTCTTTAGCTCGACCGACGGTGTATCCTCTACGACCGTTGGGGTTGTTGCCGGCATCGGGGGACTGGCTGTGGGCGGTGTAGCTGTAGGTGGTAGAACCCTGTCAGGTGAGGCACGCGCGTGAGAAAGTACAGGCGGCCTGGACGGTGGTGTGACTGAGGCAGGTGGAGTTTCATTTGCCGTTGTTTCCTTTGGAACGCTGTCCAGGGGGGACACTTTGACGCCCGCCAGATCAGCAATGGCAGGTTGCTCCTGTTTCGGTTCTAATTTTACGTCGTTGGCGGCGGCAACAGCCTCTTCCTCGGCTACAGTCGACTGTGCACGCTCTCGTGCAGCTGGTTCCTCCTCGATCTTGACCTCTTTTGTTGGAAGTTCGATCTTTGTCGGTTCCTCTTGCTTACGGCGGGCCCCTGAATAACAATCAAATAACACAATAAACAATAATCTTGGCGAAATTGAATATCCAGTTTTATCAATCAAGAAAGGATATCTTCGGTAGTTCAGAAGTGATTGAGGATAAGTTCTTGCAAACAACAAATTTTAAAAATGCAGATCTATATGAATAGTAACCATAGGGTGATCTATAAATATATTCAGTTGAGTCTTAGACGCTTACGTACCTCTTCTGTTGCTCTTTGGGGTTTGCGTCGGTTGCGGGGCGGGTTCCGGAACCTCGACCTCGTTATTCTCTTTTTCCTTGGAGCTCTCCTGGACACTGGCAGTCTGTGCCATGGTGTTGTCTTCTGGCTCCTTGCGCGTGACGCCCCGTCGAGGCCGGCCTGATCTGGTCGTCGGTAGCGACTCGATCTCCACCGCAGGCATGCCTCCGATAACTTCGTCAATTGTGTCATCGACCGTGTTCTTTCCTGCGAGTCGAGCAGATTTTCGGGTTTTTCCGCTGCTTTGGCTGGTTTCTTCATGCACGACGGGTGCGGATGGCTTCGGTGCTGACGGCTTGACTTCGTCAATTGGCTCCGAACTCTTGACCACTTCAGCACGGTCGTGACCGTCCTTATGCAGTCGAATAGTAAGTGAAATCTTGCCGTGTTGCGATGGTTCGGCGACGTACTCTTTCTCGTCACTTGAGCGACGCTCCTTGATCTCCTTCTCGTCAGTAGATGACACCGCTGGGGTGGCCTCCTTGCCGCCAAGCGTTTTGTCTAATTTGTCTTGTTTCTCACGAATGCCATCGATAATTTTATTATTATCGGCGACTTTCTCGCCGACAACAGATGTGTTTACCGCAGTAGGCGCAGCTTGCTGTTGCTCATGATTCGCTGGCAACGCTGAGAACGGATCCTCATCATCATCAGAGTCCTTAAACTCATAAACGTCGAATGAGCTCGTTGCCGGCCTTTTCAGGCCAGCGTCTCGATTAAAGCACGGCTTCTCCGTTTTGTTTGTGCTGGTTGTCTCGCTGCTCGTGACACCGCTTCGGAACTCCTCTGCTGATGCGGATGTTGCCATGGTGGTGACGGCAGCTACTGCTGCTACAGATGCGGATGTTGTAGTTGTTATTGTTGTTGCTGTAGACAATAATGGTGCTGTGACCACCGAGGCTACCTGATCGTTATCCTGGGACTGCTTGTTCTTTTTGCCACGGCCAGCGCGGGTGGGGCGGCCCTTGTTCTGCTGTTGAGGCCGCTCATCTTCGGTAACAGACGCTGGTGTCGCAGCTGTTGCTGCTACTGCCGTCGCCGCAGATGTCGATACGGACGCTGTGGTCGTAAGTCTGTCCAGTGCGGTCCTATCGGCTGCTGTTCCTGCAGAGCTGGAGTCGGCGGCCTGGTCCTGTTGCTTCTGAGACTGCAGTTGAGACGTCACCGCCATCTCAGGAGTGTCTGCGGCCTTCGCATCGTTCGCGACCGCCTCCTGTTGCTGCTGCTGGGCAGCTGTTGCTGCACTGTCCTCTGATCGTAAACCGCGGCGGAGTTTCTCCACGGAAGTGGCTCGACCTCCTCGGCGTTTGGGTTCAACCGTCGTGTTAGCGGCTACTTCGTGGGTCTGATTCTGGCTCTGACGAGCTCCGCTGCGGCCTCGACCGCCACGGCCACCTCGTTTGCCACGCTTGCCCCGCAGCTGTGGAGCGGGCCGGCGCTCACGTTCTTCGCGATCGTCTCCGCGTTCATCTCGATCCTCCTCCTCAGGCTGCTCCTCGACCTCGGTATGCTCATACTCCGAGGGCATATCATCGGGGGGAGCCTCGGCAGGAGTGCCCTCTGGCGTGTCTGGAGCTTCGATATCGTCTTTGTCGTCCTTGGCGTGCACTACGGGCGATGACAGGTTCTCGATAATCTCCAGAATGGGCGTCGAGTGCGACTCGTGGAAGTCATCATCCTTGCTTGAGCTGTCGTTTGTATCATCTTTATCTTTGTTTGCCCGCTCCTCGGCCGCGTCAAGCTCCTTCGGCTGTTCCTTGTTTACCGCGTTGTCACTACTGCTGTTGTTATTTTCTGGAGTCTGTTGTGCGGAAGAAACCTCTTTGTCGTCCGGCTCGTGTAATGGGCTCTCCATAATTTCGAGTTTGCTCGAATCTGACTTAGCGGGCGACGGAGTCTTAATCTTTGTCGGCGACGACGATAGTGAATCACCAGCGGCCAACCGATCGTCGGCGGAGCCAGCCAATAGCGACTGAATTGGAGATTTGCAGGATACGGCAGCGATGGGATATTGGGATAATTGGACCTGGTATAAATTGTTCTGATGAGACAGAGTGGGCGGTTCGGGTGTGCGGGCCTTTGTCTCGGCCTGCAGGGCATCGAAGAGATCCTCTGCCTGACTGTGAATCGCAGGGTTGGCCACAGTCGGCGAAACCGGAGGCGGAACTAACAGTTTTGATGAAGATTGATTGATGAGACTGCAGCTGCTGCTGCTGAGGTCTATCTCCTTGTCTTTAAGTGGTTTATCCGGAAGAGCAGTGCGACCTAGACTGGAAATCTTATCTATGTCGGAGTGGCTGTGCAGCGGCGGGCTCGAGTGTAGGTCGATACACGGGGTTAATGGCCGGTCTTGTGAGTGGTTCTCAATCAGCGCGTCGCGTGGCGATTTCGAGCACTGTGAAATGCTTGTTGTTGAGGATGTTTGCTGTTCCCGAGCATGTTCTCGTTGATGTTGATGCGAGTGTACAGGTGCCTGTTGACCGTGAGGCTCTTGCAGTGAAGCGAGAGCTTCATGGAATGCCAGCACGGGCTTGTCCTGACCACCCAACGAACTAGAGGCTCTTATTGGGGTCGGGGTTGCCGGGCTGGCTTCCTGGTTTACGACATTGTCCTGTTCCGTGGTATCAATCTGCAACGAGCCCGAACTCTCCTCATCCTGAACAACAAAATGCGCATCAGAGCCGACACGCGGGGACTGCTCGAGTGTGACGGGCTCATCAGCGGACGGGGACTGATCATGGTCCTGATCCTGCTGGGCCTGATCCACTAGATACTCGGGATCTTCCTCTACCGGCGGATGATCTTTGACGATTGCAATGTCATTCTCATCGCCCATCTCCTGCAACAAAGCAGACACTGCCAGGTCGTCCTCCATTTTGCGCTCTGAGTCCAACTCATAGGATCCGGGTACCCCGTCCTTGTCATGTCCTATACCCAGCGGCGAGTCGTCCTTCTCTTTATCATAGCCTTCTTGCCATGCATCATCGCGACTGGAGAACATCTCCTCCTCAAGTCGCTTTGTCTCTTTAGCGGCTTCTTCTTCGAAGTGACGCTCTTCGATTGATTTGTCATCCTTCTTGCTAAGATCAGCCTCAAACGTGTTGCTCGTCTCAGCCGAACCAGGAGCCAGTAGTTCCTCCTCGAGACGGCGTGCTTCTTCCACGGTATCTTCATCTGCACGTACATCCTCCGATGTTGACAATTTGCTATCATCTGCCTCGAACACTGCTTTACTGCTGCTGCTGCTGGTACCCGAGACGGAGACAACTGCCGTTGCGGCAGATAGCCGCGGTTGCTGCTGTGGATCACGTTCTTTGAGTGCGGCCGCTGCAGCTGCTATGCTTGGCTGGTTGTCTCGACAATCGGAACCAGCTGCCGAGTGTGACTGCTGTTGCTGGTAGGTGCTACTACTGGCCGAAAACGATGAAGTAGAGAGCTGCTTATCGCGATGCTTGTCCTTATCCTTTTTGTCCTTGCGATGATGATGGTGATGATGGTGATGGTGGTGATGCCGACTCTCTTTGTCCTTGCGTTTCTTCTCTTTGTCTCGATCGGTGCGGTCTTTTTCGCCGGGCCGGGTAATAGCTATTGAATCGGATCTATTAGTACTAAGAGTAGTATTAGCCGAAGAGTTATCTTTATCGACTTTGTTCATCATGTCTTGCTTATTATGGTCGATGTTAAACTGGCTATTGTTGGACGCATCGAAAGGCACCACTTCCACCACATCGGACACCAAGTGCTTTCTCGAATCGTTCGCAGGAGCTGTAGGCAGTTCGGAATCACTGCGTTCGTCCACTTTGGGGGACAGCTCGCATTGTTGGCGATCCATACGATCCGAATCGCCATAGCTACTTACGGGTCCGCTGAGAGCGTTTACGATACTGTCCAACTCTGAATCACTTTCGATTCGATCGTGAGGCGGAGACCCCTTCTGTGCCAAATTGTTAATGATCGGCTCACTATGTAATTCGCTGTCGGATATTTCGCTCTGATATTCATTGCCGGCTGGTGCTGGAGCGCGCGGATTGATATAATCATCTTCGGACGCTTGTTCGGCTTCAGATCGCTCATTGTCGGAGTCCTCTGTGCTCTTGTTCCTCTCCGCTGACTTGACAATGGGCTCCGACATCTTGATCTCTTTGGCTTCCTTTTCTTTCGGATCTTGCTGCTTGTTATGTTGCGTTCGCTGTACAACAGGGGCCGCCTTGGACGCCTTCATGGACTCCGCCAGGAGGTCCTTAAGGGCCCAACTCGTCTTCGCTGGCTGCGCCGATTCCTGGCTACCCTGAGCCTGACTCGATGCAGCTGTGTTCCCTCCAACGGTGACAGACACGTTTTGGCTCGTCGCGATCTTGGTTGACTCGTCATCCTTGTTGATCTCTTTGCCCTCTCTACGGCTATCAGTTTTCTTGTCTTTACATTGTTTATTCTAAAGGGCACGGCAGAAAATGTAAATATTATAGGAGAATACGACCAACGCATGGAACAATGACGGTATTAACATTGCTTTTCGAAAATCATTATACAAGCATAATAATTAATTAATATGTAGCCTTGATTTAATATGCAGATACCGAATTTGTGTGTTTGAAACAATTAAAAACGTTAGGGAGAGGAACGAATATGACAGATATAATGGCCACAAATGCAAGCGTTTTGAATTTATCTAAGTTCAGAATCAACTTAACATTGGCCACAAGATCATTTCTTACCTTCTTAAGTTTCTTCTTCTTGTTGACCCTGCTCTGTTCTTCCTTGTACTCTCCACTGTGTTCTTTATATTCTCGATTATCCTTTTCCTTTTTAGCTGACGCATCTTTCTCCTTACGATCTTTTCCATCCTTGAGACGTTCCACACTGGGCTCGTCTTTGCTGCTGCTGCTGTTATCTTTGCTGTTGAATAGGGATAGATCTTTTTCCTTTTTAGTTTTGTTTAAATGCTGCTGTTGCTCCTTCTTTTTCGACTCGTCATCAGATGACTCGGAGTCGGACAAGATCGACTTTTCGAGCTTTCTCCTAACCTTGACTTTATTCTGCAAGGAATCTTTCTTTGCAGACGAATCGTTCGACACCTCGGAGCTTTCGAATACGTTTTTCGTCGCCACGCTGGCTGTCGTCGTCCTCTTCCGCTTTTGCGTCGTGAGCTTGTCCGAATCGTCGGCTGAGTCCGACGAATAAAGATCGGACAGATCCATCTTCTTTTGTTGCTCGGCTTTACTTTTCGGGAAGATCGTCGACAGTTTCGTGGATTCGTCACTACTGTCCTCGGACTCCGATGCGACGGCAGCTTTCGGTGCGGACGAAGCCTGCCGGGTCCGATTCTTTGACAAGGTCGGTGGCGCCTTAACAGCGGTGGCGGCTGTGCTCGACAGTGTGGTCGTACTACTGCTGCTCGTAGTCGTGGTGACCGTTGTAGACTTCGACATAGCAGGCGTCTCACCATCGGAGGAGCTCTCAATGACCGTCTTCCGTTTTTTCGAATGCGGGTGACTCACTGAATTCTTTCGATTTTTTGTTCGTTGTTGTTGCTGCTGCTGCTGCTGCTGCTGCTGCTGCTGCTGCTGTGGTTGTTGTGGCTGTTGATGCTGCGATTGATGTTGGTGCTGCTGTGGCTGATGTGTCGACGGCTGATGTACGTGTGGATGCGACTGCCGTGACGTCGTCTCCGTCTCCGAGTTCGATGCGTCGGAGGGCAGGAAGTCATCACTGGCGTCTGAGTCCAGCGTCTTCTTGCGCGCACGAGACTGTTTCAGCTTGCCGAACTTGTCACCCTTGCTAACGTCGTGCACAGGCTGTTGTTGTTGCTGATTTTTGCATGAACGTTGCTTGACTTTATCGTACATGGAGAGGAACATGGGTACCCCATCGACGAAACCGAGCTCTTCCATTGGTATGCCTGCGGCTGCTGCTGCGTCCGCGACTTCCTTAGCAATCGCTTGACGTTGCATCGCCTTCTTTTCCCAACTGCTGGTTCCTTCGCGATCTTGTTTGCTACCACTGCTGCTGCCGGTTTTGTCGCATTTGTCGCTACTGCGCTCTTTATTATCGGTCTTGTCCTTCTCTTTGTCCATCTTATCCGATTTATCGATGCCAGTCGATCGGATCTTGTCCTTGTTGCTCGAAAGCAGCTTTTCCTTGGTCTCTTTCGAATCCCTGTCCACATCAGCCTTTCGATCTTTGTCCTTACCACTACCCGTGGTCATACTGTCCTTGTCCCGTCTACTTTCCCTGTCCTTGTCCTTACTATTGCTATCTTGCCGTGAGTGTTCCTTGTCCTGACGCCGACTTCGTTCTTTGTCCTTATGCTTCTCACGGTCACTCTTCTCCTTCTGATCCTTGTCCTTTTTCTCAACGCGGTCGTCGCGTCCTTTATCCTTAAAAGATGATGATGACGACGAGGAGTATTTGTTACTGCTTGACGACGAGTCCTTCATTTTGGATTCCTTGTCCTTCTTGTTGACATTTACGCCGTCCATGTTTTTGTCGACTTTGTCCTTTGTGTTGCTGCTACTGCTTGAATGGTGATCCTTTTTTCCAACGCTGTCTTTCTTTTGTGAACTGCTACTGCTACCTTCGTCTTTCAGGATTGATGATGACAATGCGGTTGATGATGATGACGATGAATGCTTCGACGACGAATGCTCCCGATCGGGTTTCTCCTTGCCTGTTTTGTCCTTGTCTTTTATCTTCTCCTTGTCACGTGAGTCCTTATCTTTCTCCTGGCGGTCCTTGCGCAGGTCGTCTTTGCGGCACGAAGAAGTTTTGTATTCGCTCTCAGTCGAGCTCGACTTTCCCGATGAGCTCGTACTGAGCTTCGCTCGTTTTGGTTCAGGCTCGCTCGACTTTTCGCGGGCACCGCCGCCGCATTCAGATGACCTCGTGGACTTTGCCGATTCCGATTCATTGCTGTCTAACGAAGAAACGCGTCGCTTTACAACTTGCTGCACAGTGTTGCCCGATGTGGCGTTAGCGCTCATCTCCGCATCAGACGGCTGCGGTTCCTTGTTCTTCAAGCTAGTGGCTTTCGGGCTTTTAGCTTTGCCGAAGTCCTTCGTAAGGTCCCTGTCCCTGTTAAACTTTGAAATGGACTTATTGTCCTCCTTACTATTGTTGTCCTTTTCTTTCTTGATGCTGGCCTTATCCTCTTTATCCTTGCGAGAGATGCTCAAGGGCGGGCTCGTACCGCCCTGCGACGGCCGGTGCTCCTTCTTTACGTTCTGCTGCAGCCTCTCGACAACGGCTAAGGGTTGCTGTTGCTGAGAAGGCTGGGAGAGACTCGCACCCTTTGGTGACATCATACCCGATGTTGGGGCGCCGCCGCACGGACTATTGGTTTGCGGCGGTGGAGATGCCGACAACTCTTTCTTGATGTTTGACACCGCCTCAACCTTAACACCAGGCGGTGGACCCGGTGAGCTAACCGGAGGAGTGACCTGCGCTGTTGGCGTTGCTTGATTACGTTCCGAGCCACTTCCGAATGGAAATAGTGGCTGGCTCTGTGCACCCATGGGTGGCAAATTTGGCATTGAAAACTCCTTGGCAGCAGCCTTCGTGCGAAATGGCAAAACAGGTTTCTGCGACTGCTGTGGAGTGGAGGACGTTAAGCCAGGTGTTGTTATAGGATTCATGACCGCGTTGGCCGGCGGCAGTTGAGGTTCGGCTTTAAGCACAACCGATGCGCTGGTCGGTGTAATTGGCGCAACTGGTGACTGTACAACGTTTAGGGCAACCGGCGTCACGGCAGGCTGTTCCCGACTATCGCTCGGTTCCTTCTTTATGACGGTTGCAAGAAGCGAGTCCTTGGGGTCGGCCAGGCCAGGACCGGCCGCACCTACCGCCAGCGATGGGTCGCCGCCTCCAGCCTTGTTCGGCTCGTACTTCTCGTTGATGTGCTCGAGCCGCTTCGAGTCCTGATCGAGGATTGACTGTTTGGCCAGCAAAGACTTGGTAATTTCGGAAGGTTCGGTCTTGTTGACGATATCAGAAGCGGGTGCTAGCGCTGGGAATCGCGGCCTCTTCTTGATGTTGTATTTCTGGTAATCGATCACAATCGGTGGTGGTGGGGGATTGTCCGTCTGCGTGTTGGAGAGTGAGCGCTGTACCGTATTACTGCCCGCGGACGCATTCACTGCTGTCGCTGAGGTCGCTGAGGACGCAGACGCTGGCGTAGGCCATCTTTCGTCCAGTGCTTTAATACGCTCCTCGATGGACGGCCGACTTGAGAGGCCACCGTGCGAAGCGGAGTGACCATGGCTGGTAGTAAAATGCGCCGAACCATGGCCGCCACCCCCAACGAGAGATGGTGAAGAACATTCCGAATCAGAGAGACTGAAATGTCCGCCGGCAGAAGCGGCTGCTGGCGGTCCTACTGGAATTTGACCGGAAACTTGCCCACCGCCCTGTAGTGTGCTACCTGCTACTACTGGTGTCGCTGGTACAGAACTAGCAGCATTTAATGCTGTTGCTGTTGTTGTCCCTGTTGCTGTACTTGACCCACTGGCGGCGACGGTGGTGGACGTCTGCTGTTGCTGCTTGCTCAAGGCACTCTGGGATGTGTCGTAATGATGACTGTTTAGATGATGGTTCGAAGGTGAAGGAGATCGGGAGAACGAGAAAGCAAATCTAGGCAGCGGTAGAACCATGACGGGCCGCTTGGACGTGGCACCCGACACGGGAGCTAGCTGCAAGCCCCCGCAGAGCGTTGGCTCGGGAATACGGCCACTATCGGTGACAACCCCCGACATAGTATCCTCTTCGTCTGTGCTCCGTTTGTGATGCTGCTGCTTGCCAAGACTTGCTGTCGCTGTGGTGCTGCCACTACTGTTACTTCGCGATAAGGTCTGCTCGATCGACCCGGCCGACGCCCACAGCCTGGCCTGACGAGGATCGCGCCTCGCGATGGAGTCGTTGCAAGAAGTATGTCCCCGCAATCCGTTCTCGACGCCCTCCTTGAGGGGTGCCGAGCCATGCTTCTTGATGATGCTGCTCGGAATTTCTTTGGTTATTTGATGAGGTCGGCTCTGTTTCGAGGACGTGTGACCCGTCGGCGTTCGGGCGACGCTCGACGAGACCGATTGAGTTTGCGAGACGATACTCGAGATGCTAGCGCTGTGATGTAACCGCTTCTTGAGGCGAACGTCATTCACGCTTCCTGACTCGCTGTCACTTGAACTCAAAATATCATGCTTCGTGTTCGTGTTCAGGTACTTATTTCTTCTGTGGTCGCTCGAATCGGCCTCTTCGCAGGGTGCGGCGGCGGCGACGCCTAGTAGGCGTCGCTTGCGTTCCAGCTGGCTAGGCGATGAGGCGTCCGTGAATGCTGGATCACTGCGACGCCGCTGACCATCGACTACCTTATGAGCGTTGTGCTGGTTGCATCCGTCACCCGTCGTTCCCAATCCGCCTGTGCTAACGTCCATCTCGACGGGACTGCTCATCCGTGACGAACCGCCACTCGTCTTACGATGCCGTTTCTTCTTCACAACAGGTGGACTTCGACTGTGATGTCGGACAGGTGACCCACCGCTATGGTGGCTATCCTCATGATCGCTCATCGAGTTCCGATGAATCTTCGAGGCCTTCGAACCTGACGTTCGCCATTCCGGCTCGATCCGATCTTCGTAAAGCACCACCTCATCCAACGAGTCTTCCTTTTCGGAGAATCGGTGGGAATTGCGCCGCTCAAAGTCGTCATGATAACTATCATAGCGTGGTGTCGAGCTAAAACCCGTGCGTGCGGCACGATTCGTCGTCGCTGGGTTGGTAGTCGCGCCAGTCGCCCTCGTGCCGACTGCTCGAAATGTACTGTTGCTTGCTGACCGTGACCGCGGTGGCGCATCGTAACGAGAATAGCGTGACTGCTGTTCAAACTGTTCAGTTCGGAGGTTGTTTCGTTCACGATCGTAGTCAGGCGGAAGCACGGGTGCCACACGTCCGCCGCGGCTGATCCATGGTCTGTCGCCCTGGGCAATCTGACCCGAGCTTTCTATCCGCTCAAAAAAGGTGGACTGGCACTCGCGCGACGCGAAGTCCACTTGAAGTCGCTTGCCGTTTAAAGCCCGACCCCGCATCTCGGAGACGGCGTGTTGTGCACAATCAAGCGAGTCGAAATAGACAAGGGCGTGCCCTCGTTCTCGATCTATCACAGTGTAGGTTACGGGACCGTAGCGAGAGAATTGTCTGGCAAGAAATTTCTCATTCACCGTGTCGGCGATCCCGTCTAGCCAGACGCACATCGTTGGCATTGACTTGCCGAAACCCAGTTTGATGCGGTTGGCACCGAGATTTTCTCCGTCCAGCTTACGCATCGCCTTGACGACCGAGGCGATATCCGAGTACTGGATGAAGGCGTACGACGAGGCTGAGCCTTGCTTTTTTATATCTATCTCAATAATTTCCCCAAATCCTTCAAAATGCTTTCGTAGCTCTGACGTTGTGATGTCCTTTTCCAGGTTGCCGATAAACAAGGTGCGGGTTGCCTTCGGATGATACTCGTCTAGCTCTGCCTCGAGCGGACGGAACTCATTGTCCTCGCCATCCAGACCCTCGTGGGCTTTTACTTCAATCTTGCAGCCGAAGAAGAGCTTGTCCTTTGATACTTCGAGCGCCTTCTCGACATCTTCGGGCTTTTTGAAACAGACTACTGCGTAGCGGTCCGTGCCTTGTCCAATCACCTTTACAACAGTGACTTTGCCGTGCTTTTTGTACTCGTGGAACAGGCCATCTTTAAGGCTCGTGTCCGTTGATCGGACGGGAAGGTTTCGAACGCAGATGCCAAGCGGCCGCTTTTCGTGAAGTCCGTCGCGATCTCGATCCCGATCACAGGGTTCGCGATCCAACCCGCCATCGGCCAACTGGCTAAGTCCGAGCTGTCCGAGTGATGACGCTGACTGGCCAGAACTTCCGGAAGTTCCCGAGATCGCTCGCATTCCAGATGCTTGACTGCCATATGATGTCCTACAAGAGAAGGAATATTCAGAGATTTTATAAGAAACTGAGCGTTTGAAAATCGTACGTTAGACTTTCGTAAGAAGCAAAGAAGAGATAATATAATATCGCCTTTTATTTCTTAGGAGCTCCAATTGTATGCTACCTGATATACGCCAGACTGCACGCGGCCAATAAAGAAATAATACTCTGACAGACATTTGAGAGATGCACAAGGTCCGTTATGGTACGAGCTGGTAATATCGTTGCAATCAGAACGCGTGATGAACTGTTTTACGTAGGCATAACATGCAGGTATAGTTTGACTGTATAAAATTTGTCTGTCCACTAAGGAACGACTCTCTACTAAGGACGATAAACAAATATCGGCGTACATCTAACGATTCAATTCAGATGTGATTCAAAATGAACCCGTACTGTGAACGCGTGAATAACTTACAAATACGGTGAGTCTGTAAACAAATTTTATAAAAACACACGCATTTGCTCAACAGCCCTATCAATTGTGCCATTTCCCTATCGAGAGTCTTAACTATCTTGAATATTCACTTTCGCAAAAACTAATTGCTAAAAAAAGTGACTTTGTTCATTCTCAGATAATTCTCCGTTTTCCAGTAAGGTCTAAATAACCCAAAAACTCTAGCTGACAATCCGCGATAAGCTGGTAGTCAGTCGTAAATCCTTGCCCACACCTATTGCTTTTTTTGAAAAATCTTTAAAACTTAAAATAATTTTGTTATATATATATATATATATATAAAAGCTTGAATTAAAAAAAACGCAAACAGCACTACTTACGTTGGTGATTGTGACTTCTGCGACGGTGATATCGAACGATGGCTACTACCGCTCGAACTTGACCGTCCCTTCGATGACGCGCCCGATGAACTTCTAGAGCTGGACTCAGAACCTGAATGATGTTTGCTTCGGCGAGCTGCGGCCCGACTTCTTCTACTCGGCGCGGAGTTGCCGCCTGTACTGGCGATAGCTTGGTTAGTGGCGTTTGACGCCGGTGAATCTTTATCCTCGTCCATTGCGGCGCTTCTCCGGAAGTGCGTCCGGGCACGAAATGACGTTGTACTCGTCTCATCTTCATGGTACGCACCACTCGCCGTCGAACCCTGCGACACTCTTCGCCCAAAATCGGCCGCCCGTTCAGCACTATACGCACCATACCCACCGTATGCTCGATCGCTGGAGTCATGGGCTGACGTATTGTACCGTGTGCCCGTTGTTCGAACGTTTGACGTCGGAGGTTCGACGCCAGCAACGCCCCCGCGTGACGTCGTACCAGCTGTCGCGAACGGGCTCTGAGATCCACATGTAGGTGCATTCTGGCCGCCTTTACTTCGATTGTGTGTTCCCCCGCCGCTACCATCCGAACCAGATCCAACTGCTGTCCCTCCCGAACCATACGCGGACACGGCGGCCGATGACGGCGGCTCGTAGTAGTCCGTCTTGAGCAACCATTCGTCCACTTTGTTCTCCGCGTTATGGGCCTTTGCCGCCGAGCGGATGTCGATAAACGATACTGTACAAGCCGCGGCTCCATTTTCATCGCGGGACAAAATTTTTACATTCTGCACCTTGCCGTACCTGGATAAACAAACGTGACACAAAAAGATTAGCTAGGGAGTAAACGGAATTGAGGCCATGATCTCTCTCTATTGACTGATGTCTATCATTCGTAGCAGACTTTAAAAGAGAGACCGAATTGCGAGAGAGAGTGCTAGGGACACCACATCTCTCGACAAATTTATAATTCTATGTCCAGAAATATTGTTTGCGACAGGCAAATCGTCAGTATAGGACTGCCGCGACGTAGATTATCATCATCAATCAGCCCATGATATTTTCTGGTCGGGTTTTTCGCAGACAATTTCTTCAAATTGAGTTTCGTGTGATCGTAACCGAAATCCGACTACTTGACGAAACTTTATGTTAATACGTTTTTCTGCCTCGTACGAACAACGTATCACAAATCCTTAGCTTTAATGCATGTCATGATTGCTAAACAATTTTTATGACTCGGCGACCCCCTACACCGTAGGGGAATAGAACCCCTTACCTAAACTGTTGAAATATTCTATTATTAACTGTCGTCGAAGATAAATTAGATCTCCCAATTCTGAGTGAAATACATGACTAGGCTTTATTGCAAGCGGTGTTGATAACCGTCAATCTTGGGCTGAAAAAAAAACGAACTTCTGTCTATGATACGGATTTATCTGCGAACAAATTGAATCGCTGGTGCATGTAAGTGACTTGGACTGCCTCATTTTCTGTATCTGCAAAGCTGTTAGCAGCAGGCGGTGTTACAGAGCAAATGAAGGGGTACGGTTGGCGTATACGTGTGGCCTGTTAATTATTCACTGCGAACAGTTCAAAATAGTCTAGAAAATCAGCTTTAGTATATAAAGCTTGGCTTGATGTTGTTGCCGGCCGGCGTTAACACGCTGGCTGCACTATTGTCATCTATAGTGCCTAGTATATTGTTTCATAGATGGGCTCACATTGAACATTGTAACAATACGACGATTCTATTATTTGTCAGCTGATTTTTGCAGTACCTTATTTGACTAGTCGCGCAATCTGCCTCGTAAAACAATAACTAACAACAATAATTCTTCATCGTCGAAACGGACACGGGCCTATTCTCAGTAAACCAACACACCGAAATTAGCATAGACATACACGTCACGTATTTTTACGAGGGCACGCTGAATCTAGCTCTGTGCATACCCATCTACACGCTGTATGTATGTGTAAACGACTACATCGTGCCTTCATCGTGGTTCTAGAAAATTAACGTGAGCACGGAATTGCGAAACGACAGTGCCTCAGCTGTGGCGCACGACCTTATGACGGATACGAAACGGTAGGCGAGTAAATCGTGGCTCATAACATCAAATCGTGTATGATAACGAACACTCTATTCGGTAACAGTTAAAATTCTGTTGACGAACCAGCCACTATTATTACCTATGACCACACATCGGTTTGTGTACCCCAGTAACTCTTATTGTATTGCAAGCCACCGGAAGGCACTATTTCATATTTCAAATATATCTAACGTAAATTAGATCATTAACTATTTCCATAACTAGACCGTAGAACTCTTCGGAGTTAAGCCAATTGGTCGTCCTTGTTGTACACGAAAAAGGCGGGTACGATGCCACTTCTATCTCAGAACAACTTTTTTTTTCCTGTTAAATGCATCCATCCATTGGGAACTTCTTATACGCCGAGCGTGTCGTCGCTGATAAATATTATAACTTGTATTCATACCGTTTGTTCTCGAAAAACGTGTGAACGATATGTAAAAAATCGTTGGCCTGCCTTTTCTGCGAAGTCAGGAACTTGATAGGTATTGGTTTTCTATAGTGATAGAAGAGCTCGAGCTGCGATAGTATATATATATATACGTACACGCAGCGTCTGCGTAGGGTTATTCCTACAACTATAATAACCGTCAACAACGCTGTTGGTACTGGCTACTTCGTTCTTAAGTGTCACGAGCGCATGAGTGAGTACAGCTGCTCGTGACTTTCCTGACGGCTCCAGCAGCATGCCCCTTCGCTTCAGTGATAAAAAAAGGTAATTAAAAAAAGCAAGAAAAAAAGAATGCTTATCGTAGTTGCCCACACCTAGCGAACGAGATCGAGAGCGCGGCGAAGCTAGGGCATTCTCTATTATCTTCCTGCGTGTCCGCGGTGTCGCTGGCCGTAAGAGTCAGGCTCAGAACGAAAACCGTTGGCAGCACCGCCGACAAACAAAGGCTTTTCGTTCGTCGCTCAGCTACTTTGTGAACTCTGCTTGCAAGCGTGCAGAGCCAAGTAATCAAACTACTGCGGCTGCTGCTACTTCACGTCGTAGCGATGCTTCGTCGCTGTCGCTGAAAACGCCGACAGCATCGTTACCCCACATCGCAGCTGTCCTCTTGTACCGATGTTCCATCCCTAAGCCTCCTTTAGTGACATCGCTTCTATTGGCAAGGAGCTCTGCCCTTTGCCTTTACCGCTACTTCGTTTGAGCCGCCTGCGCTAGATTATCCTTACTCGTTGTTGTCGACGAGTTCCTCAGGCCGCTTGAAGTAAGCGCCCTGGAACAGGCTGCTTCTACTGACAGTGGCCGACATTGGTTGACGGTGGGGGCGGCCTTTCCCAGTGGTCGCTTTTTCCTCGTTCGTTGCCACTGCTGACATGCTCTTCTGCGTCTTTCAGCTTTGTCTCAAACAGCCAGACTCCAAAGCCGTACGACTTCTTCTCCGAGGTTACTTTCCTGCTGACTTTTCCCTCTCTTGCTCTCCTTTCTCCACTTTTCTTTCTATAGTTTTCCTTCCAAACGAACGAACATCAATCCTTGCCCCTCTTTACAGTTCTACCCGTCCGGGTCGTCTTCGTCGGAAAGACCGGCTTCTGTTTCTACCGCTACCTCGCATCGTGGCAGTAGCGCCAACGCCTGCAGCGAGGTGCTGGCAGCGTTGGGGGTCATAGAAAAGTGGTTCTACAGAAGAGGGAAAGAACGATGGCCGCTTTCAAGGCAGTCTTCAGGCTCTGCCTGCTACTTGCAAGCCGCTAGCGGATGCCGGTGCCAGTGTTAGTGGAGGTCTTCGGAAATAGATCCACCTCTCTTCTATCTGCTCATTCTCTAGTCTTTCTCTCTACCATCCTCGTTCGCTGGTTCATTTGAAGAGCGGCATACCACAGCGGCAAGCCCGTTGCAAGGCTTCTCTGAGCTCCTGCGTACCCCACTTTCGGTAGACACTGCTATTCGTTGGCAGTGCTGATGGCGCAGCGGAGTGCGGATTTGCACTACTAACACTACTCGATCCGGCAGGATAACGCAGGCAGACAGGCATAGGCGAACGAACGCAGGAGCAAACCCGGCGTCGTCCGTCGAAACAAACGAACAGCATACCGCGTTCGTCCCTTTAGCCGCGTCTAGTAGTATCGCCCCAGCGAGCATGCAATTTAACTGCCGGTCTGCTGCCCTGCCAACAAAGCAAGACAGCACCGAGAAGAGAGGAAAATGTTGAGAGAGAACCCTGCCAGCTACTGCTAGCAGCGTGAGGCAAAGCGGCTAAGCAGAGGTGACATGGCGGCGGCGTAGGACAGCACGGCCGACAGAGTACAGAGGGTAGAAGCTGGTTCGTTCGCTTGCTCGCTCGCTCGTTCGTTCGTTCGCTGGTTGGTTGGTCTGTGTGCCTGGTTTTTCGCTTTGCTACTCTCATCTGCTGGGTGCTCTCCTCCTTCAGATAGCGGCGCCGGCTGTCCCGTCGCCCTTGCCTCAAGCCCAGTTTAGCTGCCCTCAAGTGGGGCTTCCCGACCCGCCACCATCTCCTGTGCCGCCAACCTTTGCTGCCAACAGTATCGGGATCCGAGATCGGCCAGCATACAGACAGTAGAAGATGGTAGTCAATAGGGGGTACATAGGCGGTGGCATTGAGTGCCCGTAGGGAAGAGAAAGGAAGGGCTTCTTAGGGGGCGGTGGTACCAGCATCGAGGAAGCAGCGCTGCGCGAACACAAGAATCTTTTCATGTTTTAGTAGCAGGCAGCAGACAGTAGTGGTGGTAGAAGGAAATGGAAGCCCTCTCTTTCTCAGTTCCTCTGTTCTCCGTCTATAAAGGCAATCTCCCCTTTGAAGAGGATCCCAGAGTCAGAGCCCCGGCCCCACAGCCCAGCGTTCCCTGCACTCCACCTTTCCGTTCTTTTATCCTTATTTCCTTTTATCCCTGGCGCCGAATCATGGCGACGGCTGCACCCATTGGCGGCGCTGTCTACTGCAGTGGGGTCGACGACATCCCATTGGCTGTGGTATGGCAAGGGAGATACGTAGCATGGGCAGCGGGAAAGGGTATTCCGTAGCAGGACGACAGCAGTCGCTGCTGCTGCCACCTTTACCCCCCACCAGGGAGCAGATAATCCCGCGTTCGTCCTTTCCCTCATTCTAGCAGGGTACCCCACAGCCCTCTGCATCTATCCCGTGAGCTCTCAGAAACGATCGCTAGGCAGAACGATCTCCCGTTATCCCATTTTATCCCTCGTCCCCCTGGGGAAGTGAATAGCAGAGTGCTTTAGTTGGGCAGTGGGCCTTGTGAATGCGCGGGTGTTGTGCGGACCAAGAGAACTTCGAACCACTACCGAAACGACGAACGTTCAGTCGCTGCATATAGCCGCTTGGGGTCAGCGAATAGCGGGTCCCCGGTCCTTTAAGGCTCAAGCTGACTGACAGAGGAAAAGCGTTAGATGGGTGTGGGCAGGGAAGCGTAAGGTAGCAAATAGGAAAGAGAGCAGTAGGGTCTGGGGGTCTGTTCCCCCTCAACGATCTGACTGGGTGGTCGTAGTGATCAGGGAACCAGAGTGCCAAACTATGGGTCTCCGTCCTTCTTATCCTATTCTCTTATCCCGACGGGCCGATGTCAACCGACGTACCAGGCCCCCCGCGCCGTTTGTCTGTCGGTCCATCCGGCCATCGGACAGTCGATCGCTTCGTCGCTGATTCGTTTTACCACACCTACCCTTTTCCTGTCTCTTACTTCATTTTCTCGTCTCGACCCATCCGCCACTGCTATCAGCTCCGCATCCCAAACGCC